TCCACCTAACAATGGATATTGTCGAAGGTCTTCGACCAGAAACCATCCCAGGAGTTCCTTATGGTTATCAAGAAATTATGAAAAGATGTTGGGATGCTGATCCATTAAAAAGACCAACGGCAGAAGGAATTTATAATTATTTTAATACAAAGCTTCAAAAAATATTAAGCGGAGAATATATTATTTCTGAATGGAATACTCGATTTGTACACTTATCTGAAAATGATCAAAAACAAAGTAATTTATGTTTTCTTTATGATGACAAAAGACAATTTATTCTTTTGGTCAGTGATTATTATTAATAATTATATTCCAATTTCATTACAGTAATAGACGATATTAATAAAGCTATTCCATATAAGGAAGAAAGTGATGAACTTTTATTATTAATACATGTAGAAAATGATAATGATCAAACTTCAAAAAAACATGGTAAATATTTATAAAATATATCTTGCTTTCTAGACATTAATAAATAAATATTCCAACCTCAGGATATTTCACACACAAGGCTAGTTCCGTTTTTATTGCCATATAGTCGCAAAATAATGTTAATGAGCATTATTTCGACAAATTGCATCATTTAAAATATCAGATTTATGAAATAACTATACGGATTTAAAAAACATTCTTTATTTCGAAATAACGCATATGAGCGTCTCGAAATAACGCGCATGTGTCGAAGGGTACGTTATTTCGGACTACCACGTATTTGAGAAAAAAGAAACTTGGCTAAGTTAGAACTTTGTTTCTTATCAGAAAATATGAAGCAATATTAAGTTAAAGTTATGCTTAATAAATATTAAAATAAATATTAAAATAGTATTTATTTGCCAACTGATACTTAAAAAAAAAAAAATCGAGTCAGCGAATAATGCGAAACAATATTAACTTTATCAAAACAAAATTAAAAATTAAAAATTATATAATTCGCATTACTAATATTTATATGTACATATGTATTTTTAATTTTTTAGAATATCATTTAAATTCCGAATCTATGCCAAATCATAATGTGCCGGATGATGATGATTTGATACTTTTAGATCTTAATAAGAGTATATTTCCTATTTATTATTTTCTAACAAAATTAATGATTTATTTAACAAACGTTCTTATATTTGATAGCTTCACAAAATTCATTCATATTTAAGATTCATGGAATATCTAGTTACTTTTCTGGAAATTATGAAGAATCTATTTCAAATCTTAATATTGCGCTTAGCTTAAATCCAAATGATTCAAGAGCTTTACATTATCGTGGGCTTGCACATCTTAGATTGGGTCAATACGGTGACGCAATTGCAGATTTTACTGAAGTACTGAAAATTAACCCAAAGTCTAGAATCCATATATCTGATCATGCGCAAAAAAATATAAAATCTTCGTTTAGGGATGATTATCTTGGCAGATGCTTATGGAGTTTGCGTGGATTTGCTTATTTGCAACTACGTCATGCTAAAAAGGCATTTGCAGATTTTAGTAAATCATTCGAAATTAAATATTTAGATAAGTTCTTGAACAATGTCCCTTCTCACATCAATAAAATAAATAAAATTGATAGTCATAATTGGATATTCAATGAAGCAGCCGAAATAGAATTCTTTGAACCAGAAGATTCACTTTTTAATGATATGGAAAAAGTATTTAATGCATTGGAAGCTGAACCTACCAATGCAGTTGACCTAACAATTTGTGCAGCGGTTCAACTTAATGAAAATGACGATATTAAGTCTGCTTTAGAATATTTAGATAGAGCTTTAGAAATTGATCCAAATTACGTACATGCTATGCGTTATCGGGCAATGTATTATTCCATGATAGATAATCAAAGTAAATCACTTTATGATTTAGACAGAGCATTAGAACTTGAACCCGAAAATGCTTTTTTACTACAAATGCGTGGTGTTGCGCTCTGTAACATGAAACAATATGAAAAATCATTAGCAGATTTTGATAAGGCATTGGAAGTTATTGGATCCACAGACGTTATGAAAGCCGCAGACGTTATGAGAGTATCTTCTTACCTAGTATCTCGTGCATATACGCACTTCAGAGAAGATAATTACAAGGAAGCGCTTGTAGATCTAAATAAAGCATTGAAAATTTTTCCTAATTATATACCTGCTTTGCGTTATCGGGCAACACTTTTTTATTTAGAACAT